CCACAACGCCCGGCTATTTTTTGGTTGCAGCCGTCATTGTTGTTTGGCGGGTCCGGGCTGGGGATTCGAACCCGCCACCTTGGGTGTACGTGGCTGGCGCCTTAGCCGGTTGAGCTATAGGCGCCGAGCCGTCAGCCCTAATTTGAAGTCAACCCCATGTTGGGGGAATCAGTTCCCAGTTTTGAAGACCAGTTCTAGAGTTAGCTCCGAGTTTGGAGGATTGGCTTCTGTTTCAGGGATGGGAATAGGCTCTGAATTGGGAGTCAAGGTCAGCTCAGCATTGAGTGTCATAAGCTTCCTTTTATACCTAGCTGCTCCGTTGGCCCCACTATGGGGGACCACTGGCTGGCGAGTTTCTCTGTGCAGGTGGTCAACTGTAGTCGTGTATTTAGCTTCTCGTGAGTAGGCCTGGGGGTACCAGAATGTAGGTATGGGTGGGGTGGCTTTGTGCACTTTCTCTGGGTCATTCTTGCTCTATGCCACTCCCGTAGGCTTCTGGGGACCCTAGTAATCTCCCTACAACAGCTACAGAATGCTGGGCATTTGGTGCTACGGGAGGCCCTAGTGGATGAGAATCTTTGAGTGTCCCCGGTGAGTCCCCCCCAATCCTCCAGCTTGCCAGCTTGAGGCCTGAAAGTCCCATTTCTTGGGAAAACCTGAGACCCGACAGAAATGGTACCAAGGCTCCCCACTGAGGGTGGCCAGAGTCAAGAGTCAGTAGTCCCTTGAGGGTCTTTCCAGTGTCCCACATGCCAAGAACCAGATTGAGCTCTGAGGCTCAGGGGTGTGGCCATGGGGGAGACAAGTAGTTCTGTGCTGCTCCCTGACCCTGCAGCAGGCTCAATCTTATGGGAGACAAAGATGAACCTGGTTGGATTATTCTAGTGTTTCACAGAATGTCTTGCAGTCCAGTAGACATGGACCTGGCTTCAAATCTCAGATCTGCCATTTCCCATTTAAGAACTTGGACAAGTTATTTAGCTGTTTTCTCATTTACATAATGTGGATTCATACAAAATGTTGAATTTTTCACTCAATCTGTCATTGTTGAGCTCTTATTATAAGCCATGTGCTGTGCTGAGCATATATGCCTCCTTGGAGTTCCCTATCTAAAAAGATAGGCAAACATTAAACAGATAATTCACACAAATCAGTGCAAAACAGTCATTGGCACATGTCACAAAGTGTCAGGCCCAGCCTCTTGGCGGACTATTGTCCTGGTTCTTTGGCTCCTTGCTTGGAAGAATCGACTGGTGCCAGTGTGATGGAGTGATCACAAACAGGAAACAATTCCATACAAAGAATTGTATTACAGAAAAGGATGCTATACTAAGTGAAAATATGTTCCAGAGAGGAGTGGATCAGTCTCCTCCAAGTGGAGAAAGATGTCGAGGACTTGGCTTGGTCCAGGGGTAGGCTTACAGGAGGTGTAGGATATTACCAAATGATTGACAGGTGTTCTTAAACAACAAGATTGCAGCCACATATGCTCCACAGGTGTGTAAACCTCAAAACCTCAGATTTCTGGTTTTAACTACATTTTCCTGCAGTGCCTTCCTCAGATTGGTCCCCAGTTTCTCCGCCCCTAGGAGCTGTCCTCCTGGCCTACACCTGCAGATTTGGTCCTACCTAACAAAAGAAGCTGGGAGAGAGTGTACAACATGGGTGTGTGACCTAGCTGGGGTTCAGAAAAGGTTCCCTGAGGAAATAGTGCTTGAGTTTAGACCTGAAAGATTATAGGCATTAATCAAGTAGGAGGGTAAAATGTTCCAGGCAGAGGAAAAGGCTTATGCAAAACCCCAGTGTCCTGGAGGAGCACAGCTGGGGTGCAGAACAGAAGCAGAACCCAGGATGAGATGAAGCTGGAAAGGCTGGTGGGGCCAGACCATGCAGAGCAATGAAGACCACAGTCAGTGATTTCCAAGATCAGTGAGGGAACTTTGGATTCATGTTTGGCCCACTCAAGAGGTAACTTGCCACATGGTAAGTTCTTCATAGGTTGTGAGTAGTCAACATTATTAACCCATTAGAGAGGATTCACAAAGTACCATGGATGCAGGCCAGGAGGGTCTCTCCTTATGGATGGAATTAAAGGTGTTGTCCTTGGGCCTATCCTAGCCTCCGGACAGTTAGAAGGGGCCCTAGAGGACACTATATCTGGTTTTAGATCCAGGTGGAGCTTGACCTGAAGTACCAGCCCGCAGAGGGTGCTACTGGGGCCTGGGCAGAGGAGGACTTTGGGGCATCCATCTCTGACAGGTAACCCCCACCTCCAGCTACCTTAGCAAGGCCTGGTGGCCCCATTTTAGGCAGGCGCTGGAAAGAGAGAAGTGGTACCTAGCCGCTGAGCATTGTGGCGGGCCCCTGTAACCTCAGCTACTTGGGAGGCTGAGGCAAGAGAATCGCCTAAGCCCAAGAGCTGGAGGTTGCTGTGAGCTGTGACAGCACAGCACTCTACCGAGGGGAACAGAGTGAGACTCTGTCTCTAAAAAAAAAAAAAACAAGAGAGAGAAGTGGTACCCAGTTCCAATCTGGATCTGCCAGTACTGTGACCCCTTGGATGTGGGCTAATAGGCTTGCAGCTCTGTAGTCAGGCTTGTTTCTCTCTTGTTTCCCTTTCTCCCCAGCTCAGAGCTGATCATCCCCAATGTGGGCTTCCAGGAGCTGGAGTAAGTGTAGGGGGATGACCTGAGGTCAGTGGGGGTCAGTTTTGGGATTAGGAGCCAGTGAAATGGGGTCAGTCCCAGGTCTGGAGATTAGTAATGAGTTAATTCCAGGGTGATAGGTCAACCCTAGAATTAGAGGTCAATTCTGGAATTAGAGGGGTCCCAGGATTAGGAGTCTGTCCTGGGATCCATTGAGTCAGTCCTAAGGTCCAGAAGTTGAGGGATGCTGGAGAGATGATGAGAGATAGGTTCCAGACATGTCCTTTAAGGGCCTTTCCTATCAGGCCTGGGCAGGCCCAGCTGGAGCAGCAAGCAGTGGTTTTGGGCCGCAGGCTAGCTCGAGGCCTAGGCCAGAAGGATGATGAGGACAATGAGCTGGAGCTGGAGCTGGAGCTGGAGGATGAGCCTGATGTGGAGCTCTCAGGGGTTGTGTTCAGCCCCCTCAAGAGGTAACTTGTATCCATAGCACTCCCACACCCTACCTGTGAGTCTGTCTGCTCAGACCCACATCCATCTACCCTCACAAACACTCAGGCCCAGGGTATTTGGGAAGTGTGGATACCCTGGAGTACTGCCACATTCCTGCACATAGTTATACTGGCTCACATACATGCAGGTGATTAAAGCTGGATGAGGGCAAAGAGTTTTGTCTCTTGTTCACTGGAGTGTCCTGGTGCCTAAGACAGTGATCCCACATAGTAGGTGCTCAATAAATCTTTGATGAATGAATGAATAGTTTCAGGGCTCTGGAAATGAGTCAAATTCTGGGTGAAGGGTTAAGATGGAGACAACAAAGACAAGACCTGAAGGACGCAGAATCCAAAAGTTCAGAGGGAGAGAAGATCTTGTTCTCAGCATCATACAAGTGTGCGTGTCTGTGTGTGTGTGTGTGGAAGGGGCCAAGTGGGAGCTGAGCTTAAGCTTCTCTGCAGCCGAGCCCGGAACCTGGCCCGCAGGGATCCCTTCCACATGTCCAAAGCCCAAGACTTCCAGGTACTGCTCTTTTTCCAGGCCCTAACACTAGGGGACACATTTTCCTCCCTCTACTCAGGCAGCTCTGGCTTCCTTTCCTCCACCTTTTGCACCCCTCAGGTGGGCATCACTGTGCTGGAGGCTCAGAAACTGGTGGGAGTGAACATTAACCCGTATGTGGCAGTGCAGGTTGGGGAGCAGCGCCGAGTGACTGCCACACAGCGTGGCACCAATTGCCCATTCTACAACGAGGTGGGCACAACCAAGGAAGAGGGTGGATCGGAGGGAATGGGTGGTATCCAGATAGGAACTGTCCCCAGAGGGGGCGTGGCCTGGGTGGAACTGAGCCTACGGATGAGCAGTGGCTGGAGGGAAAGGCTGGGGGGCCGAGAAAGGAGGGTGCTCTTTGTCCCAGGGTCGAGGTAAGCTGGCCTCAGCTATTCACATCTAACCTCTCACTCCTACAACCCAGTACTTCTTGTTCGAATTTCATGAGACCCGGCTTCGCCTGCAAGACTTGCTGCTGGAGATTAAGGTGAGGTGGGCTAGGAATGGGAGGTCTCCCTCAGCGAAGGGGAGACGAGAAATCTCCAAGACTAACCCCCTTAACACCACGCCCTCCCCCAGGCATTCCATTCGCAGACCCTCCCCTTTATGGCCACTCGGATAGGTACCTTCAGGATGGACCTGGGCATCGCGTTGGACCAGCCAGGTACTAAACCCTCCCCTTACTGAGACTTGCCTGCACCGACAAGGACCCGGAAAATTGATGCTCTGGGCTGGGGCGCTGCACCGACTCCTGAGCACTAACTTCTGAGAGCGCCATCTCTCACCAAGGCTGAACTCTTTGCACTCCCGCTGCGCCAGACGGGAGCCCCAGCCTTACCACCTCCTCCTGCATCCCTGACCCCTGGCCCTCACCTCCCCCAGATGGCCACTTCTACCAGAAATGGGCTCCTCTGCATGATCCCCAGGACACCCGCGCCGGGACCAAGGGCTTTGTCAAGGTCACTTTGTCCGTGAGGACCCGCGGGGATATGCCCCCTTCGCTGCCACCCCTGGGCCCAGGGCACAGTTCGGACATCGAGAAGTGAGCTGGGGTGAAGGGGGAAGGGAAGACTAGAACCAGGCATGGACTCCAGGCCCCGAAGAAGGGGAGAGGCCGAGGCTCCAGCCTCTCAGTGCCCCCTACCCTAGGAACCTGCTCTTGCCGCGCCGGGTGCCAGCCCAGAGGCCATGGGCGCGACTTCGCGTGCGCGTGTACCGCGCCGAGGGGCTTCCTGCGCTGCGCCAGGGGCTGCTGGGCAGCCTGGCGCGCGCCCTGCACGACCAGCGAATCTTCATGGAACCCTATGTGCGGGTGTCTTTCCTGGGCCAGCAGGTAATTGTCGTCCCCGCCCGGTGCCCACTGTGCCGCTGCTTAGAGACAGATCTGCGCTGACCCCCTCCGCCCGTCTTGGCTACCGCCGCCTTCAGGGTGAGACATCTGTGTGCCGCGAGGCGACAGCGCCAGAGTGGAACGAGCAGCTGAATTTCGTGGAGCTCTTCCCGCCGCTCACTTGGAGTATTCGTCTGCAACTGCGGGACGACGCACCCCTAGTCGATGTGGCACTCGCCACGCACGTGCTGGACCTGAGGCAGATCTCGCACCCAGGCCGAGCAGGTGGCTGTTTCTGGGTCCTGACCTGAGTCTAGGCGACAAACTCGGCCTCGATTTGCTTCTGCCCCATGTCCCAGTCCCAACTGCAAACCTCATCCTCGCTACCACGCTCCGCATAGGAAGCATTGTCCATTCTAGGAACAAAAAATAAAATAAAAATAGAAAAGAACCCCCCCAACTAAAATAAAGCTGCTCCCAAACAGGCCCTGCCCCCTAGAGCCAAACCTATCATCCCCAAACTGAAACCCATCCTCGGTTTGGCCTCCTAACAAAATCCTGACTCCAGCCCCACGTCCAGCCTTGCCCTTCCTACGAATTTTCTCCTGTACCGAAAGAAGAGGGTCCACCCAGGTGCTCTTACCCAGGCCCCTAAGGGATAACCTAAAGCTCAGTCCCAACCCTATCTCCACCTCTAGGGCTCCAGCTCTGCCTCTAGCTGCAGGTTGGTAGCCTTGGGAAGTGGAGCTGGTTTAGGGCACCTGAAGCTGAGATTCTGCCCTGCTCCTACTTTCCCAGCACTTAGAGACCATACAGGTGTGGTTCATAGATCTAGTACCCACCTGCCTCTGGCTCCCTTCCAAAATAGCGTTTTTGTTCCCTACAGCCGGCTTTAACCCCACATTCGGCCCAGCCTGGGTGCCTCTCTATGGCTCACCACCCAGTGTGGGTCTCCGGGATGGTCTTCAAAGTCTCAATGAAGGCCTTGGCCAAGGCATTTGGTTCCGAGGCCGCCTTCTGGTGGCTATATCCATGGAGGTGTTAGAAGGGAGAGCTGAACTTGAGCCTCCTCAGGCCCAACATGGGTCCAGGTTGTTGAGGCTCACCCGAAAGAAGAAGAAGAAAGCCAGTCGGGGTCAGATGCCAACGGGGGTTCCACAGCACGTGGATGCCAGCTCTAGTGCGGCTGGGGCTGAGGTTCCTAGTGCCATGGAGGCGGAGGTGGAGGAGCTGCTGCCACTGCCAGAGGTGGGGGCTGGGGCTTAGTAAATGGGGCTGGACCACTTTCAGCTCTGGAGGGTATAATCCACTTCCTGGCCTTAAACACCATGAAGGGGGTCTTAATTGGGGGGTTGAGTGGAGTACAGTGAGTGTACACATGGGCTTCAGTGTACATACACACATTGAGGGAAGGAGGGCTGACCCATTAAGGATGGGCCAGAGAGGACCAATCCCCAGGGCCAATGCCTTGGGGCTGCAGGGGTGGAGAGGGAGGTAGCTTACCTGCAGTGACTTCTAGGCCTTGGTTACAGTGTCTTTCTGTGGGCGTTGTGGCTATGCATAGTGTAGGGGGCTGACTCCAGCCTGACTCCCTTCCCCAGAATGCCCTGATGCCCTGCGAAGACTTCCTGCTCTTTGGTGTGCTCTTTGAGGCCACCATGATTGACCCTGCTGTGGCCTCCCAGCCCATCAGCTTCGAGATTTCCATTGGTGTGTGGTTTAGCCAAACCCTTGGGGGTCATGGTTTGAGGGTGGTTACTCTTGTTTCAGACCTTAGGCCCCTGGCAAGGGCTGTTGGCCTTCAGTAAGGGGTGGGTTCTGACTTCTGTTGAAGCAGAGGCAGTTGAGGAAGGGGTCTGACCCTCAGCCTAGGGCAGGCCTGCTGACCCTTGCTGCTCCTGAGGCAGGTTGCGCTGGTCGCCGTGAGGAGCAATTGGACAGAGGGTCCAGGGCCTGGGAGGGAACTGAGGGTGCTGTGGGGGATGCACAGCCTCTGTTGGAGTCCAATGCAAGGGCCAGAACAGAGGAAGAGGAGGAGGAGCTGGGGACCCCTGCTCAGCGGCCTGAGCCCATGGATGGCAGTGGGTAAGTGCTCTTGGTGGCTGAAAGGAGGGTGTTGGGAGATCTCTAAAGACGTAGAATGTCCCCCTGAGCCTCTGCTTTTCTCCACCTGGCTTAGGCCATATCTCTGCCTGCCCCTGCGTCACCGCATCCATGTGTGCACGTGTGGAGCCGCTGGGAGGATCACACATGGCGCCTGCATAGCAGCAACTGTGTGAGCGAAGTGGCAGAAAGGCTGGTGAGTACAAGGCTGGTGCCCCTGAGAGACACCAGGCCACAGGGACTGCAAGGACAACACAGCCTTTGAAGGGACCTTTGGAACGGGGTGAATAGGCTCATCACCTGTGATATTAGTGCAAGGTCAGGGGTCACAGAGGCCAAAAAGTATAGCTTCTGGGCAAACCAAGGAAACCAGAAGTTGTAGAAGGACAGAGATTCAGAATTGTTGGATCCAGGAAGGGCTGGATACAGGAGACAGGTGTGGGCCAGGAGGGGACTAGAAAAACGGAACCATCACCCAAATGGAACCAAAGTAGGATTTAGCTCTGCCATTGTCCTTTCTCTCCCATATCATCCACTGGTCCCTAGTTACCAAAGGAGGGTGACCCAAGAAGTGCTTTTGGAGTGGGATCAGGGGCTGTGGTCTATAGGAGGTCAGGGTCAGGAACCCTCAGGACTCTCAACTCTCTACACAGGACCAGGGGCTACAGGAGGTTGAGACACTGCAGCGCAGGCCTGGGCCAGGCGCCTGCACACGGCTCAAGAGGACTCTGGAAGAGCTGGTGGCTGGGAGCAGGTGAGCTGAGAGCCAGGCCCATTGCTTCCTGTCCCCAGGCCATCTCCAGGGTGAGGGAGAGAAGGGAGACTCATGATGACTATTTGCACCCGAGGGCAGCTTACAGCTTCCCTTAGCACTTTACAGCATAGAGGGAAGGACATGACTGTCCCTATCAAAGGAGCTTGATGGAGGTTATTGGGCATTAGGCCATCCCCAGATCCTCTGGTGCTTGGGCTGCCTTCCTCCTCCAAATGTGCTCCCTTTCCCACTCTTAGAGGATCATAGCAAGTCCTGTCTCCTCAGAACTCCCCTCTTACTTTCCTCCACACTTGTTCCAGCTAGTGACCTTCTCTCCTACTTCCTGAGAAAATAGGAGCCTCACCTTCCCCCACCCAGGCCACCATGCTGCCCCCTCTGCCTCCATCCATGCCCCTTCCTTCCTGCCAGAGTGGAGGGAGTAACCCTGCTCCAATAGCCACAGCTGTGATCTTGATTTCATTGCCTCTCACCTACTGGAGGATTTAGCTCTGCTATTGTCCTTTCTCTCCTGTTTCATCCACTGGTCCCTAGTTACCAGGTTATGCTGTAACCACATAAATGTGTTCCAGTCATCTTTGACTGTCACTGCTCTGAATCCCATTGTCTGCTTCAGGGACTTAAGTGTTTTTCTGATCCTTTTCTCCAAAGAGTTATTTGTCTCTATTCAATAAATATTTATGGCATCTACTATGCCAGACATTGTTTTAGGCACAGAAATAGCAGTGAAAAAGCCTTCCTGCCCATAAAAATCCCTGAAGCTTACATTCTGGTGTAGGGAGTGGGGTGGGGCTGAGTGGAGACACAGATAATCACCAAGTGATAGAGAGACAGAAATATTGTAAGTAGGATAAGGATAAGTGTTAAAAGAGAAAATCAAGAAAGTGTTAGAGAGAGGTATTGAAGTTTTAGAAGGGGCATGGAGGGGAGGCTACTGTGAAGGTGACATGAAGATGAAGGAGCAAACCATATTTGTAAGGATGTTCCAGGCAGCATGTACAAAGGCCCTGAGGTAGAAGCATGCCTGGTATGTTTAATCAACACCAAGGGAACTAGTGTGGCTTGTGGCCATGTGAGCAGAGTAGATGAGGGTGGAGGCAGCATGGAAGAATGACTCTGGGGGTTGATCATATGGAGCCTCTTAGGGCATTGTAATGACCATGACTTCTACCCTGAGGGAGATGAGAAACCGAAGAAACTTCTTCTTTTTTTTTTTTTGTAGAGACAGAGTCTCACTTTATCACCCTTGGTAGAGTGCCATGGCGTCACACAACTCACAGCAACCTCCAACTCCTGGGCTTAGGCGATTCTCTTGCCTCAGCCTCCCAAGTAGCTGGACTACAGGTGCTTGCCACAACGCCTGGCTATTTTTTTGTTCCAGTTTGGCCGGGGCTGGGTTCAAACCCGCCACCCTTGGTATATGGGGCCGGCACCCTACTCACTAAGCCATAGGTGCCGCCCTACTTCTTTTTCTTCCTTTTTATTTCTTCCAAATTATTATCTACAAGTACACAGAAGGTTTTGAAAAGGAAAGAGAGATGTTCTAACTTATATTCACCCTTTCAAAGGACCCGTGGGGGAGGGATGGTGTGAGAGAGAAAGCAGAGAGATTGCTAAAGAGGGCATTGTCATAAACCAGGTGGTAGATGTTGATGAACTGAATCTAGGATGGCTGCAGTTGGAGTGATGGGAATGAATTCAAAACTTTGAAGCTGGAGGTGACACCTCAAGACTTGCTAACAGATGGGTATAGGGGATGAGGAAAATATAGAATCATGAATGGCCCCCCCACCCCACCAAGATTTGGCTTGCAGCAACTATGTAGATGGTATTGTTTACTGGAAAATGAGAGGAGGTCTGGCTGGGAGTGGTGGCCTATAGTTCTTGCACTCTGGGAGGCTGAGGCAGGTGGTTTGCTTGAGCTCAGGAGTTTGAGACCAGCCTCAGCAAGAGCGAGACCCCATCTCTACAAATAAAAAAACTAGCTGGGCATTGTAACAGGCGCCTATAGTCCTAGCTACTCAAGAAACTGAGGCAAGAGGATGACTTGAACCCAGCAGTTTGAGGTTGCTATGAGCTATGATGGCATGGTACTTGGCACTCAACTCCATGGCAACTTAGTGAGACTATCTTTAAAAAAAGGGAGGGAAGGGCAGAATGTCTGACAGAAGTGAGAGGAGAGTAGATTTTTTTTTTTTTTTAGAGACAGAGTCTCTCTTTGTCACCCTCAGCAGAGTGCTGTGGTATCACAGCTCACAGTGACCTCCAGCTCCTGGGCTTAGGCGATTCTCTTGCCTCAGCCTCCTGAGTAGCTGGGACTACAGGCACTCAACCACAATGCCCGGCTAGAGAGCAGTTTTTTTATTTTTATTTATTTATTTAGAGACAGATGCCATGGCGTCACAGCTCACAACAATCTCCAGCTCCTGGGCTTAGGTGATTCTCTTGCCTCAGCCTCCTGAGTAGCTGGGACTACAGGCAGCCGCCACAATGCCCGGCTATTTTTTGTTGTAGTTTGGTCGGGGCTGGGTTTGAACCCACCACCCTTGGTATATGGGGCCCGTGGCCTACTCACTGAGGCACAGGTGCCACTCTATTTTTATTTATTTATTTATTTATTTATTTATTTATTTTTGAGACAGGAGACTCAAGCTGTCCCCCTGGGTAGAGTGCTGTGGCATCACAGCTCACAGCAACCTCCAACTCCTGGGCTCAAGAGAGTCTCCTGCCTCAGCCTCCCAAGTCGCTGGGACCACAGGCACCCACCACAATGCCTGGCTATGTTTTTTGGTTGTAGCCGGCACTGTTTGGCGGGCCCGGGCTGGATTTGAACCCGCCACCTTGGGTGTACGTGGCTGGCGCCTTAGCTACTTGAGCCCCAGGCACCGAGCCCTTATTTTTATTTTTTAGATAGAATCTCTGTTCCCTGGGCTGGAGTACAGTAGCATCATCATAGCCCCCTGCAACCTAGCTCCCTGCAACCTCAAACTCCTGGGCTCATGTGATCCTCTTGCCTTAGCCTTGCCAGTAGCTGGGGCTACAGGTGCTCACCACTATGTCCGGTTAATTTTTTTTTTTTTTTTTTGTGGAGGTGTGGGTCTTGGTATGTTGCCAGGCTGGTCTCCAACTCTTGGTCTCAAGTGGTCCTTCCTAAGTACCTGGATCCTCCCAAGTACTGAGCCACTGCTCCTGATCTTTTTAGGTGATTTTAGGGATTTTTAAAATTCTGGGATGAGAAACCACTAGAGAGGAGTGAAATGGTCTGGAAAGTATAGAAAAGAGCATTTGGTGCTGTACTGAAAATCTTCTACAGGGAAGGGGGAGGCCGGAAGCAGTGAGAACAGGAAGCCCCTGCAGTAATCCTAGGTGAGGAATGATGGTGGCTTGGACTAGGGAGGTCCTGGAGAAGGATAAAGGGGGGAAAGTGGTTAGATTCAGGATTTTTTTGAAAGTAGAGTGTAAAGAATTTGCTAATAAAACGATGGGGAATGAGATAAAGAAAGAGCAGTGAAGGATGACCCTGTAGTTATTATTATTATTATTATTTTTGAGACAGAGTCTCACTATGTCACCCGTGGTAGAATGCCGTGGCGTCACAGCTCACAGCAACCTCAACCTCTTGGACTTAAGTCATTCTCTTGCTTCAGCCTCCCAAACAGCTGGGACTACAGGCGCCCACCACAATGCCCAGCTATTTTTTTTGTTGTTGTCATCATTGTTGTTTAGCAGGCCTGGTCTGGGTTCTGACCTGCCAGCCCCGGTGTATGTGGCTGGTGCCCTAACCACTGAGCTATGGGCGCTGAGTCAAGCCTGCAGTTTGGAGATAAAGCAGGGTTTTATTTTTTTGGTGGGTAGGGGGGCACTAGAGATCATGCATTTGGTTGGGGCAAGTGATGTTCACACTTTATGAAAGTGAACCTAGTGGAGACTAAATCACAGGCTGAGACTTACCTAGGAATGCCCCAGGGCATAAACAGATTCTGATGCAGTAGTGCCTGGCATGGGGCGGAGATTCTGCATTTCTGACTAGCCTGCAGGGAGCACCAATGCTGTTGGGCCATACTTGAGGTGGCCTAGGTAGTAGCTAGTTAAATATAAGTGAGATCTGGGATTCAAAGGTGAGGCCTACTTTGATGGATTTGGGAATGGTCCAAACAGAGACCATCCTTAGATGAGGAAGGGAGTCCCTGCAGAGCGCCAGACTGAGGGCTGTGAGGGAGGCTGGGGTGGGAGGCCTCTCTGTGGAAAGTGGCCTCAAGCGTCAGCACTCTTTCCTTTGACTTTCCCCTGCTATGCAGACAGTTTTGCCATGGCGCTGAGCGCAGGACAATGACCAGGCCCAACGCCCTGGATCGATGCCGAGGGAAACTGCTAGTGCACAGTCTCGTACGATCCTGGGAAAGGGAGTCAGGGGCACCTGGCTGGGGCCTTTCACTCATGCTTTCTTCTTGGCCTTCCAGAACCTGCTGGCAAAGCAAGGACTGTGGCTTCTATGGGGCCTGAGACAGAGCAACATGCAAAAGAAGTTGACCTTGGCCAAGAAGCTCCTGGCAAAACTGCGCTTCCTGGCTCAGGAGGTAATTGCTTGCTTACCCCATTTTCCTACCTTGTGTACCTCTCTCCCTAAGCTCTTGGGCCATTCTGGAGGCCTCTGGGCTAGTGTGATGAAATGTGTATCTTCTGGAATGATGCCAGAGCTGGGACCTGTTGCTTCAGGTCACAGGACCAAGCTCTATTTGGATTAGCTAAGGGTGAGGATGAGAGTTCTAAGGCCCAGCAGGGATCTAGGGAACATTTGGGATCTCTTTGATGAAGATTTGAGAGCAAGCTCCCTTGGGCATGGCCTCCTGGTCTGAAGCCCTGAACATGACGTGCTGAAGGTTAAGGGGATTCACAGTTTTGGAATGTGTTCTCTGCTAAACATCTGCATTTTTGCCTTGTATGATCCTTCCAACAACCTTGAGAGGAGGTCACCCCATTTGACAGAAGAAACCGAGGCTGAGAGAGGGAAAGTGACTGGTCCACCATATGGCAGCAGAGCTGGAAGTCAGAGCCAGTTTTGCCTGACTCTGAAGCTCAGTCCTTCCCAAATGCACAGGATGTTTACATTGCTGGGCCCAGTGTGTTCTCTTAGACTAAGGAGATGGATTTTGGTCTCATACCTTGAAGGATAAGCTGGAATTTAGCAAGTGAAAAAAGATGAACAACACATGCAAAGATCTAGAACTAGGTGGCCTGGGTACCTGGGAAACACAGTTTTGGAAGGAGAGATAGAATAGAGACCTTATTAAACTGAATTTTAGTGCAAAATTGCTTTTTAACTTATAACTCAAAATATCCTTTTGTTAGGTGACATTTAAAATT